TGGAGAGTGTGAACAGCCGTAAGGTTCTCTGCCTACACTTGGAGAGTGTGAACTATTGTAAGGTTCTCTGCCTACACTTGGAGAGTGTGAAAGGACGACGGTTCTCTGCCAACACTAGGGATTGTGTAAAAAGACGACGGTTCTCTGCCGCACCAGGTGGTGGTGAAAAGAGTGTTTTGTAAAGGCTTCTCCGCCTTGCTGTGGGTGAAAAACGAGAGTCACTATTGGTATTAGTGTAATACTCAGAGGGTGCCTCTGGGGTGTAGATGTAGGTCTGGTTTAGACTGAACCACTATAAATCTAGTGTCATTTACTTTACTGTTTTTACTTTTCCGCATTTTATTTTTAGCTTTAAAAACTCTGTGGTTGAAAAACGATTTCTACAAAAACTTAAAAGAAAATTTTCATTTCAGTTTAACTCAATTTAAAAGAGGGTTTAAAATTTTTAAACTACCAATTCACCTCCCCTCTTGGTAGCCTTGGGACATTAACTTAGGTCTAACATCCTATTTACTAGACTCAACAAGCTCCAGCTCATCTTCCTGAGAATCTGATTTGATGTTAATTTGCAGGATTAACACCACCAGATCATATAAAAAACCTTTCAGCAGCTCATCCACATTCCAGCTTTTGTTTATGATAAAGGCCAAATTTTAGGAAGAAGCACGGTTTGTGCCGATATTAGGGGAAAAAGCATAATTGTGGAATAATTTAAAAAGTAGCATTTATGCCATATAGTTTGTCGTATTAGTAGAATGCGTTAGAATTAAACGCGCAATCAAAGAATGCGTTGATACATAAAGTGCATTCTTCAAATTGCACTGAAGAATAGAGCGCATTCTTAAGAATGCGCTGAACAGTAGTGCGCATTCTTAAGAATGCGCTTTAAAGCTAGGCACATTCCTTGGTTGCCGACGTGTGCCATCTTAGAAAACATTATCTGTTTTGTCGTTATCACCGACCAGATCCAAATTTTGCGAGCAATTTGCACTGGTTGGGTGGCATTCAGTGCAGCGAGTTAATGAGAGTGCCTTAATGAGATGGTTGGGAGATGCCGATGTCGTTGGGAGTTATACGGGAAATGCCTATAAAAGCCGGGGTGTGCTGAAGAGGGGTAGTGCAGTAGCTCTCACTTCCTTAAATTCAGAGAGAAAGAGAGGTAAATAAATGTTTTTTGAGTATGTTAATTTTTTTTTGTTGAATAATTTCTTGAGTTTTTAGTTTATAAAGATTTTATATGTGATATGCCAAAAGATATGTATGATTAATTTACTCTGATGAATGTGTATTGAAGAACCGATGTTTTCTAAATTTTGTATTGTGCTTGTGATTTTCTACTTACGATGTTTAGTCTTATTATTTGAAGGTGTTAATGTTTGACTGGAGAGCTTGTATTGGAATCAGTAGTTTTAATTTTTCATCATTCTTAAATTTGAGATTCATTTATACCGGAGAGCTTATATGATAAATATCACATCCAGGTCACTGCCTTGCCCGAGTCTATTAAAAATTTTATTTAATAAGTATAAGATAAATTATATTTTTAAAATAATTTATTTAAAAACTAAAAGATAAAATAGATATTTATTTTTAAAATATAATGAAAGCATGTTTAGGAGAGAAATTAATTTCCAGCAAGTAAAACATGAGGTTTAATCTTGTTTGAAGAGAAACTTATTTGAAGTATAATTAAGTTTATGCATTGCACTCTTGCGATATTGGTAATTATTTTAAATTAAAAACTTCAATGTTAGTTCCACCTTTTTAAATTTTTTCCTAAACCCTAAAAATAAAAGTAAGCTTGAGTGGTAAGGATCTTCTAAATAAATTATTGTCCTTATTATTTAAGTAGAGGAAAAAGAAATAAAAATGATTTTCTTCTTGCCATTATCCTAAGCTAA